GAAGACATCGATGTGGAGGGCCAAACTCTGAGCTCCTAAACCGTATGAATGCCTTCGGAGACGGTTCGAGGCAGGGAACTGTGGGGTAACATCAGGAACGTGGAATTCCACCAATTGGTAGACAGGACAGAATACGGTCTAGTCATGAGGGACAGAACATCTCTCGGGGAAGAGTCGGAGAAGGTCACAGAAATGCACTGTAAACTCCGATTTGAAGGAAATCTTGGCATAGATTTCAGTGTTCCATGCAAAATTTTGGATCATAAAGATGGTATTGGTCCTATAGAGACTCCATCACTCCCTGTGAAGATTCCTGGAAACTAGAAAAACAGACAGCATGATCGGGCATCTGATCTCTTAAATCTTAATTACACTGTAAGATTCAAAGTTTGATCGGGCTGTTAGAAAGGGCGACATGCTTGAAACGCCGAAAAAGGAAGATGCTATATGGTCCAGAAGCGCGAAACATACATGCCAAAACTCGAAGAAGACTAAACCTGGAGGAAGTGAACAAGCCCCATAAATGACACGCCACGTATCCGTCCTTTAAAAGAATTATAGCTATAGTTGGATGCGCCCACCACCGGGATACCGTGGTACCGGATAACTATCAAGCTCCAAGTGGGCGATACCCCCACTGAAGCTCGACAGTTTCACTACTAGAACAGTATGTGATCCCATGAACTAAACCTTGGCAAACGTTATGTTTGATTAGTCTAGAGGGCTTCGATATGAAATTTTAACATGCATCACAGCACTTTTTAGTTAGAACTTCAATCACATTCCCATTCTCATAAGAAGCTCCAAAAGAAAACTCACAAAACGACCGCGGGAAGGAACCTCGGCGAAGTTCCGTCTGGATGAATCACAGTGTCCGCTTTTTGCTCATAGGAGAAGAATGCCTGCGTAGCATTAAAACACTGCAGAATCACCGACTTCAGCAGGATAATCTGAAAATATGAAAAAGGCTTTAATGATGAGCAAAACTTTTGTAATAAAGCTGGACTGCATTTAAGCTGAAAAAGGAATATTACGAGGCTTCCTATAACATTTTCGTGTTTATTCCAGAATATTTACTCGAATTTCAGAAAAATATATATGTATACAGCACCAGCAGACAAGCCTCTGTGCATTCCTAGCCCTCCTTTTATTTCTACAATGACTCTAAACAAGCCTACCATCATATAGGACAAACAGGCACCTCTAGAAACCGATAGAAAAATAGCCAAAAAAA